GCAGCGTGCCTTCCCGCCCCCTCTGTCCAGCCAATAGCCGAAGAGCTTTGTGGGAGTGGGCCTTCCCTCCCCGCCAATGAGGGAGGTTCTTGCTGTCCTGGTCCCGCCCCTGCCGGGAGCTCTGGCAGAAAGATGGCGGCGGCCGCTGAGTTGACGCTGCTGGAGAAGTCCCTGGGGCTGAGTAAAGGGAACAAGTACAGCGCGCAGGGCGAGCGCCAGGTGAGAAGCGGAGGCGGCGCGGAGGGGCGGAGGTGGACGGGAGCGGGGCCCGCTGAGCCTCAGCTGGGAGGAGCGCTGGCCGGCCGAGGCGGACGGAGCGAGGACGCGGCCCCTCACCTCCCCACGTGTCGGCGCCGCGGGGCTGGCTCTGCCTGCAGCCCCGGCTGCCGGAAGCGGGCGAGGGGATGGCCTCCGGTCGGGCTCGGCCCGAACCTTTTCTTTTGGTAAATGTTGTAACCCTGTTCCGGGAAAGCGGAGAGAGTCCTCCAGGAGGCCGTAGATAAACCAACCCGGCGGCCCCGCGCTTGCGTTCAGCGACGGCGGTGACAGAGCGCCTTTCATTCATCGCTGCGCAGCTACCCCGCGGAGCGAGCTGGGCGCCTCGCGCTGAGCACCGCGCTGGGCCTGGGGTGCGGCGCGGCGGTTACGGTGGCACGCCGCCTGCCCTCGGGAAGCTCGCCCTTTTTAGCCGAGTGGCAAACATTGCATCTCTTTTCATTGCAATACTGAATAGAGCGACGCTGGAGCGTAGCGCGTTTAGGGGACACAATGGGTCTTGGCCCAGTCTGGAAGATTGAGGAAAGGCTTTTCTGAGGCCTTGGGTTTCCGTGTCAGTGTGCAACATGCAGAGAAGGAGGGGGGTGGTTAAACTGTAGGAGGCTGGCTGCTGGGGTGTCGGGACCCAGACTTCCCAGCGCACGTCTTCCTCCCAGTTCCTCCCACCCCAGCCTCTTCGCAGGCACCCCCAGGCCCACTGCCCTCCCTCCACCAAAGCCTCAAGGTGAGTGGCTGGCGAATGAAAATCCTGTGCTCTTGTTTTTTAAGTTGCGTTTGTTCTTTTTAAGTGGATTATCTCCGACAGGCAGCGTCTCTCCCTGGCTGATAGGGTCCCCTGTCCCCCCTTACACTGCTGGATGTTACTTGAGCTGCTGTTTTCTGCTCTGGTGCCCTGGGCTCGGGACTAGGGAGCCTCGCTTGACGTCTGGGCCTCACTCCTCTCAGGGAAAACCCACTGGCAGCCGAGATCTCTCTCCAAACCCTGCGCCTGCTGCCCATGGGAGCTGGGCCAGCCCTTCTCGCCACCCCACTCTTCTTACCAATCTGGAGGTGGTTTCTGCCCTTCCTTGTTAAAAGTATTTTCAGCTAGTCTTCATTTGGTAATTCAGGGTGACTGTTCCCCATTTTAGTTTTATTTACAGTTTGGTTCTGGGAGGAGGTACAAGAAGGATCCACCTACTCTGCTGCCATCTGGAAAAACTCCTTAAACTAAAATCTTAAGAGTATTTGAAAAGCAGTTGAGGGATTTAAAGACCACTTAGAATTTCAGTCGTGATGGTATTTGTTTTAAAAATTTACCTGAACTTTTTTCTTTTTAAGATTCCAGTTCTTCAAACCAACAGCGGTCCATGTCTAACAGGATTGGCTACTATAGCAGCTCATCTAGTCAAGGAAGCCAACAAAGACTATTTGCTCGGGAGCACTGCGGAAGAAAAAGCAATAGTTCAACAATGGTTAGAATACAGAGTAACTCGAGTAGATGGGAACTCCAGTAAAGACGATATCCGCATTCTGTTGAAGGTACTGTGACTTCTCTTTATAGGCTGAAACGAATGAACTGTTACCAGCAGGAATCTCTTCCCTGAGTTATCTGTAGGGGAAGCTATTGACCTTCCTGTTTCCTTCTCAGGGTAGTTTTACCTGTTGTTACCTTTGCCTGAACAGACTGCCAGCTTCCCCCTTCAGGTCTCAGCTTTGACACCCCTTCCTCAGAAAGGTCCTTGATTACTTCTCTCTCAGACAGATGCCATTCCTTGTTCAATATGCTTTTCCTTCATAATACCACACCCTGTACTTTTCCTTCATGCCACTATCATAGTCAAGAATTAAAACTTTGTAAGATTTTTTTTTTAATGTGATGGCTTAATGTTTACTTTCCCACTAGGCAATCCTGATTCCTTAATCAATAAAGTACTTTTTCAAAGACAAGGGGAATCAGAATCTTTGGGGATTGTAGTTTGAAAAAAAATGTCAGATTGATATGACAATTTCCCACCCTTGAGACTTAATGCATTAGGATTTATATTTTCGTTTTAAAGAAATCATATTAAAATAAAATAATCTATTGATATAAAATATAAACTGAATATGGCTTCAGAGTCACCGAGAATAAAAAACATTCCAACTGAAATTATTTTTGTTAATTATTTTTATACAAATAAAGCAAATTTTAAAAAATTTTTTGAAAGCTTAAAACTTAAAGGAGCCTCAGAGGTCATCCAGACAACCACGTAGCATTGCAGGAACCCCTCTGTTTCCTAATTTTATTTCCATTATCACACAAATTGATCATGTAAGTTGTGCAAGGAGGTCTTATAGTACTGAAAGTTTTTCATTTATCACTCTGAGGAAATGGTTTAAACTATGTTCCTGATAGATACTGTCAATAGAACTGGTAGAAAATAAATTTTAGGCCTTGTTCCTTTATAGGCCTGTCGTGGTGACCGTTCTAAATATCCACACTGACACTTTCCTCTGCCCCCTGCCATGCTCGGCTGCATTTCCAGACAGGAGCAAGCATGTCTTTCCTCTAAGTGAATGTGAGATTTCAGGCAAATAAAAAATAAATATAACTATCTCTTACTATTTTCCAGAAAAGGGATAGTAATAAAGTATTTAATTCTGAAAGGTAGGAACAGGATTTCATTGAATTGGAGTAATTCCACCAAAATGTTGTGTCTGGGATATGTAAATATTATCTGAAATTTCAATCAGGACAATGTGACTGGAACTGTTACCATTTTTGAAATGTATGAGGAGCTGGGCGATTTGGGGTATTGTCCTTGCTCTGCCACAGTTTCTGTACTTACCGTGACGTGTCAGATACGGTTCTAGGAACTAGTGGTACAGTGACCCATTAGACACAGTCCCTCCCCTCACAGAACTTGGACCGCAGGGGACAAATAAATGGATAATGGGCTGCAGTGTGATTTTTGGCCATATGAGCACAGGTGAGAAAGGGTTGTGTTCTGTTTTGCTTTGCTTTTTGCTGTTTTATGATAGGTAGTGTTTTCATTTTAAAGGCAATAGATATCTATTATAGAAATTAGGAAATATAAATAAGCAATAAAAAATTTCAAACATTTGTAGGTCTATCCACGGGAGAACTGTTTGGTAACATTTATGTTCGGTCATCAAATATTTGTGTTCCTTCCAAGCTTTTTCTTTTCATATATATGTGTGTGTTTTATTTTTAAAATTAGTTATTATTGGCCTGGCTGGCGTGGCTCAGTTGTTTGAGCATTGGCCAGAGCACCAAAGGGTCATTGGTTTGATTCTCAGTCAAGGGAACGTACTTGGGATGCAGGTTCCCCCGCCCTGATCCGGGCTATGCGTGGGAGGCAACCAGTTGATGTGGCTCTCTCACATCCATGTTTCTTTCCCTTCCCCCTCCCTTCCAGTCTCTCTAAAATCAATGGGGAAAATATCCTTGGGTGAGGTTAGCAACAACCAAAACACACTAATTTGTTTTATTTTCTTTACTGACTGTGCTGTGAGCATCTTTACATGTCCATAAATATTCACTTACACTATCTTTTTGATAACCTGTTAGTATTCCGTCATATATTTGTACCAAAATTTAAATAGTCTTTCCCCGTGTAGTTACTAGATTATTGCTAAATATCTTAACACATTTCCATTTGTTTCCTTAAGCTAATTCCTATAGGGGAAATTGCTGAGCTAAAACTATGCACACTTTTAAGGCTATGTAGCTCATTTGGCCTCCAGAAAAGTATATTATTATAGTTTGGTAGTGTATGAGAGTAACTTCTTCCACAAGCCCTTGCTGACATGAACATTACCCTTTTTTTCCATCACCACCACAATTTCATTACCAAAACAAGTAAACCAAAAAGTGATTTGTTTACTTTGTGTTTTTCTTCTTAAAATTATTAATGCTATGACATTTTTTTCATAATGCTTATGAGCATTTCATTATTTTTAAAAATTTGCCTATATGTATTCTTTGCCCGTATGGACTGGATATTTATCTTTATTTTAATTTTAAAAATTCTTGCTATTAGGGTATTATGAAGGGGTCTAATTCTTACTCGCCAAAGTTGAATTTCTTTGCTAAAAACCACAATTCTGAGTTTAAGTGGCTCATAATTAAGGTAAATATGTAATTTCAAAAAGCAGGCATTGCAGAACACTAACATTTGTTGAATCTAGATGGAGGATATATAGTTGTTTATTATAAACTTTTTCAATATTATTAGATGGTTAGGAAGAAAAAAAAATCAGGTGGAACTCTGTGGGGGAACATATTTTTTAAAGTTTAATTATAGCATTGGAAAGACTTGTTAAAAAAGGAAATAAACAGCCCTGGCCAGTGTGGCTCAGTTGTTTGAGTGTTGTCCTGTGTCCCAAAAGGTCGCCAGTTGGATTCTTGGTCAGAGCTCATGCCCAGGTTGCAGGTTTGATCCCCAGTCAGGGTGTGTGCAGGAAGCAACTGATTGATGTTTCTCTCTCCCTCTCCCTTCCTTTCTCTCTAAAAATATCAATAAAAACATAGTTTTAGAAAAGATCTTAAAAAAAGGAAATAAACTAGACATTAGTGCCACTAACCAGAAAAATACTACCTAATTGTAGTTTTTTTGTCCTTAGTTATAAGATTATAACCTTGAGAGTCTGTATAACTAAAACAGATAAAGATTGTATTTTAAGAATATATATACTATATTAAGGAGTGTTAAATTATTGTTTCAGACCTTAGTTTAAAATGAAGATATATTTAAATGAAGATATATTTATTTTATTTTAATACTTTATCAATGTTTCATTTGAAGATGTTTGGAGAAAAACTATCTCCATTCAACAGATTACTATAGAATTTAAGTGGTAGTTCTCATGTTTTACCCTTCCTTCCCAAATTTTACTTTGATTCTTCAGCATTCATGTTCACATTCCTTTATGCCCTCATCTGTATCACCCCTGGCAGTTCATATTCTTATACCATTTTGAAATTACTGTCTCTAAATGAAGGTGTGGGCAGATTTAAAGAGATTAAATTAAATTCAGCAAACATTTACTGATTACTGCACCATATAATGCGCCATGCATTTGGAATGTGATTTAAGAAAACAAAATGCTCTCTACAATTTAAGGAATTTTTCCAGAATAAATGCTGTTGAGTACAGAGGAGCCTATGGGAATATTTGATAATACTTCATATAATCTATTTATTTATAAACCTGTCTCTAAAGGTTGTATGAATATTTTGTCTTATTTAATTTAAAGGTAATTTAATGTGAATTTCTGTGCCATTAAATTTGAAAGGGACCAAAAGTATTCATATAATATTTTTTATCTAGATTTTTTCTTTGCTCAGGAAATTGATTTATTTACTCTGGTCTGTCAGAAATATTTCAAATTTAGATTAGGACCTTTTAAGATTTTTAAAAATCATTTGTTTAACATGTTACTTTAAATATTTTTTCCTTCAAAAGTGTGATTGGCTATTTAGGGAGCTAAGTGCTTATTAGTTTTTTTATAATGATTTTAAATGAACTATTTTTTTTGCATATACTTAACATTTTAAAAATTGATGGTAATTGTCTGGAGAACAAATGAAACAGGACTTTTTGTAGCTTTAAATGTTGTTTAAAACTGGAGTCTTTAAGGTATTAGAAAAACTAGGTATCCAATTGCAAAAGAATGAAGTTGGACCCTTACCTTACAATATATAAAAATTAACTCAAAGTGGAAATTCCTAAATGTAGACCTAAAATTATAAAACTTATAAAATTATAAGGAAACGTAGGGAAAAATATCATATCATTTGGTTTGATGATGATTTCTTGGGTATCATACCAAAAGCACAGGCAACGAAAATGAAAATTTTGTTCATCAACAGACACAATCAACAGGCAGCCCATAGAATAGGAGAAAATATTTACAAATTATCTGATAAAGGGTTAATATCCAGAATATATAAAGAACTATAACCCAACCAAGAAAAAACTAAGAACCCAATTAAAATATGAACAAAAGGACCTGAGAGACATTTCTTCAGAGAAGACATACAAACCTGATAAGCATATGAAAAGATGCTCAACATTAATAATCATTAGGGAAATGTAAATCAAAACCACAAGGAGATACCACCTCACCGCCATTAGGTTGGCTACTACCAAAGAAACAGAAAATAACAATGTTGATGAGAGGGTGCAGAAATTAGAATCTTGTACATTGTTGGGCATGTAAAGTGGTACAGCTGCTATGAAACAAGTGCAGTAATTCCTCAAAAGATTAAAAATAGAATTGCCATATGATCCAGTAATTCCACTTATAGATATATACTCAAATGGTCTCAAACAGGTATATGTACACCCATGTTCATAGCAATATTACTCACAATAGCCAACCAGTGGGAAGAACCTGTCCCCATGGACAGACGAATGGATAAGCAAAGTGTGGTATATACATACAACAGAATATTATTCAGCCTTAAAAAGGAGGAAATTCTGATGCATCCTTCACATGGATGAACCTCGAAGAACTTATGGTAAGTGAGATAAGCTAGTTGCATATGACAGATACTCTGTGATTCCACTTACATGCAGTATCCAAAGTAATCAAATTCGTAGAAACAGCAGAATGGTAGTTGCCAGGGCCTGGAGTGAGGGTGAAATAGTGAGTTTGTTTAATAGAGTTTTTGTTTTGCAAGATGAAAAAGTTCTGAATATTGGTTGCACAACAGTGTAAATACCCTTAACACTGAATTACATAGTTAAAAATGGTTAAGATGGTAAAGCTTACGTTACATGTATTCTACCGCAATTATATAAATATGCAACAAACCAATAAATTATAATTCTCTTAAGAGTTAGAAATCATTGAGGAGTTTTTTAAATGCTCCCCTCCACCCCCCAAAAAATATTGGGAGTCTGAAATGATCAGTTTTAATATCTTTTTTAATATTTTCTTACTTCTTTAAAATAAGACTAACGTTTGCCCTATTTTTTTTAAATGAGGTGATTAGTATATGATATGTAATTTTGAATAAATCTGAATCTATTAATGTCAAAGGTAATTTATTAAACTAAATGTCAGTACTTTGTTTTCTAATAGTCTTCTGAATGTTTTCAAGTCAAATGATACAGTAGTTAGTTAACTTTAGTATTACTGTTTTTTAAATAAACATTTTATTTGTTTTTTTTCCTAGGATCTTAATTCATATCTTGAAGATAAAGTCTATCTTACAGGATATAACTTCACGTTAGCAGATATCCTATTATACTACGGTCTCCATCGCTTCATAGTGAGTATTTGAATAATTATTGGCATTTTTCTATAATGTTCAGATTATTATTTTTGTCTTGAATTTAATCAAATTTCAGTTTTCAGCTTATCAAATAAAAATGAGAGGAATAATTTTTATACAAGGACCGTTATGCAAATATTCCTTCTATGTGTCCATCAGATAGTTGTCTCCTGTTCCTGGACCTGCCTGATTCCTGTTGCTCCTGCTCTTTGCAACTACTTCTCTTGCCACACTTTGGACTTGATTGTCATCATCACCTGGACCCCACCTCTCTGTCTTAATTCCAATACCCCATCTTCTGTGTGACTTCTTATCCTTAGCTCTTAATCTCTTACTCCCTAAATCCCATCATTATCTGAAGTAACCCCTTCCCTTTTTCTAATCTATATACTTTCTTCCCCACCGAACCTAGATCCCCTTTTGTGTAACTTCGACTACATTCTTTTATTACAGCATCTTCAACTTCTTTGTTCCACTGTACACTCACCACCCTTTCCCTGTAAATCTTCAACTCTTGGTTAGTCTAAATAAATGCCTTCAATACTATATCCAGGCTGACTTCTGGTATAGAAATTACAACACTAAGATTGGTACCGCTATAAATTTATACTGTTCAATTTCAACTGGGCTGTCATACTGATCAGCTCTTTTATTCCTCCCGGGCGCAATTTTAGACTGTTAGCCCTTTGCTCAAGCCCCACCCTTCCGCCTCCCCCTTTATCTTAGGTTATTATCACAGAGCCTGCCTCCCTTATTCAGCTAGAAAATAGAGGCTTGTCTTTGAATATACTCACCTTCTAGCCCTGCCTAAGTGCACATCCTCACTCAACTTGTCTCCTTTTTCTGGACTCAGAAAGAATCATCTCGATGTTTTCTTAGGCTAATCCATTCATTTGGCCTCTTACCTCAATTCCCCCTCTACCTTCTCCCTTTCTGGACCTTGCCCCAAATTTCATTTCTTTTCTTTCTCATATCTTCAATTTTTCACTCTATCTGGTCAATCTCTTTAAATTGTTTCCCATCTTAAATTTATTTACAAATAGTTATGTGGCACTAACTATATAGGCACTGTTCTGTGTGCTTTATAAATGTTAACTCATTAATCCTATAGCAGCCCTGTGAGATAGGTACTATTATTCCCATTTTACAGATGAAGTGACTGAGGCATAGAGAGGTCCAATGTCTTCTTTGAGGTCATCCAAGTAAGTGGCAAAACCAGGTCTGGAAATCAGGCAGTTTGGTTCAGAGTTTGTACTTTCTTATATTTCTCTACCTAAAACCTCCTCCCAACATCCATCTTCCCTGCGGAAAAAAAGAACTTGTGCATTCCTCTGTACCCTTCACCTCACGCATTCAGTCAGTAAGGTCCCGTTTCCACCTCATGGATTCCTGTCCCGTGTGTCTCTTGCTGTGATCCTAGGTGACATTGCCCTAGTTCCAGAATTCATTGTCTTCTGTTAGGGCTATTGAAATGGCCTCCTGCCACCAATCTCATCTCTTGCAATCCATCTTGATTGTTACTGGGGCACTTTTTCTCACAAATGTGTCTTTTTCTTCCTCCAAATAGGTAGCTCCTCTCTCCCTGGGGTAGGAGGCCCTTCTGCCTGGGGCCCTGCCTCCCTTGCTGGTCTCCTCCCCCCACGCACCTCTCAGCCAGAACGTGCTCCCCGGAGGCTCTTCAGTCCTTGCTCTTTCTGCGCAGTGTCCTTGTGCTGCTCCTCTCTTGCTGCTTGGCCCAGCCCTTCACTCAGATCATTTGCATTTCATCAAGCGACACTCAGTTCTGGCACTAATTTCCTGGTGAAGTCCTTTCGGGCTCCTAAAGCATATTCAGGTGCTCTTCCTCCTTTTCTTTCTGTACTTCGCAAACTACCTCAGTCCTGGCTTGTTTCATTTTTTACTGTAAGTCTTCTTGGAAAATTTCTGTCTTTAAATTAGAAACTGCTTGAGTTAGAGATTGCAGCAATTCATATTTGTCTAACGTAATTCCTTGTACACATATATAGTCTGTCCTCTCCTCCATAAACACTGAAGAACATAATTCACATATCTCTTATGTTTTTTAGAGTTTTATATATTTTTTCTTACTGTACTTCACAGTACCGAGAGAGATAAGACTAGCTGAATTGTCTTCCTGTTACAGAGAAGGAAACCAAAGCTTAGGAACATCATGTGCTTTATACAGAGACACAGAGCTCAGGTTTTGGAAGGGCCAAGACAAACTCCATGTTCTGACTCAAGTGTCAATGTGTGGGGAAGCCCTTCAGAAATGACAGTGCCATAGTAACATATGATATATGTTCTTTGTCCCCACTCAAGCTATAATTCCTCCATTTGGATTTATATGCCTTATTAAGTATTATTTCTCTAAGATCCTAAATGATTATGTTAGGTCCTGTAACATTATTATTGTAATGGCCTAGTATTACCCTTAATTCAGCATAGTACTCCCAATTATTGCAAGTTTACTTAATAAGAGCTTACTGTGTGTTCCCATTATATGATACTGGAGGGACATAAAAGTGTAAAACTATTTTCAAGCAACTTTTGATCTCATCGAAGAGGTAAAACTGTTTTATAAGAAAGCAGTTAGTGAATAAGAGAAAATGGAATCTAGTGCTAATTTCTGACCAGAATATTATGTGATCAGTTAAAGAGAGATATAGAGAAAAGTGGAATGTAGAATCGTGAAATTATCAGGAAAGTATCTGTTGAATTTGGATGGCTTTGGCTCTCCAAGGGACTTTTTATTGTTTTAGAAAGCTTATGATAAGTTTGACTAAATATTGCGTATAAGTAGGATGACCATATGGTTTCTTATCCTAAGCAACGCTTTTGTCAGTGATAGTGGGGCTATTAATAATTACGCTTGTACAACAGGAGTAAAGTGGGATGAGTGTTCCCCATACTTAAAAGGAATAAGACTCGATTTTAAGCGAAATAAGGAGATCGAAGAGAATCATGTCCTATTTCCTTCCCTCTGTATCTCTCCCAGCTCTTGACACAGTGCCTTGTGCAGCTAAAAGCTAGTTGAGATTAGCAGTATTTAGCAACCTCTTCCTCTTTATATTTCCTATTTTAAGTAATATTTCCTATTTTAACTTTATAGTGAAAGTATAGTCTTTAATTATATACTTCAATAGAATTAAATCTAAAGTATTTAAATATGAGGACAGTTTAAGTAGAGGTGAAATAGTTTGAATGCACCAGCCTCTTTCCTTTCCATCCCATTCTGATTAAAAATATTTTTGTAGTTTTTTGTTTTGTTTTTGACCTCATTTCGAAGTGCAGAAAGCCTTCAGGCAAAGAGGACTTGCTTCTCAAGTACCTGCCTTTCTCCTGGTGTAAACCCAGGAGTCTCTCAGCCTGGGGAAGTCCACAACTTGATTTGAGTGAGACTCTGCTGCTGTGAGCAAAGCTACCTTGTAGAGGGCAACAAGGGTGGTTTATATCTAAAAACAACACACTTCCTGACATTTTAAAAACATATTTAAATGTGCCATTACTGAATTTTAAAGTTAATATTAGAGAAATGTCATCTCTAATCCTATGTGATGCCTCTTAGCAGACTAATGAAGGCCTGTCAGGACCCCCTCGAGGTCTAGCTTTGGTTAGCATCAAGCTGTCATTAAGACGGAGAGCATTTCTCCATCTAATTAAAAAAAAAAAAAAAAGATGCTAGTGACATGTAACTCTTGCGAACCAAGTATATATTTACGTGTTTCTCTCTTCTGGCTTATGCAGGTCATGCAGTAGGGAAAGGAAGCACCCTGAGGAGGGCACTTGTGTGGGATTTCTTTGCCAGCAGAGCAAACAAGGTCATAATAATTCCATAGTGCAAGATATTTACAGCCCAGCTGCAGAGTTATTTAATCATGGGTCTGTGTGCCTTCTAGGGTGTTTGGTTTTCACTCAGATGAGAGGTGTTTCATTCAGTGCTACATGATAAACTAGGGTTACAGTCAAAATATTTAATGATCGGCACCTACTTATAGTTCTATTTTGAAATGTGTATCCTCTTTATTTGTAGTGACTAGTATATTATGATTAAAGATATTGTGCTTATCTTTTTAAAAACATAATTGAGTGGAATAATACATAAGTTAACCATCCTTTTGGGTTCATAACCAAAGCATCTCTCCCACCCTGGCCCAAATACAGGCAGAGTACATGGGAGAAATAAATACTTTCTCAAGGAACAGGCCTTGCAGATTAACACCTGTACTGTGAGAATTACACTGTGGTGTTAAATGACATCCTGTTGAGTTAGGTGTAAATATACCCAGATGAGAAAAAAATGATTACTAGGTATTAAATTCTGGCAGAGTAGATGTAAAGTTCAGATTGGCTGCCTGCTCACATTCATCAGACAGTTTCCCGTGCTCTGTGCTTTGGCGGTATATTTATTTTTGCCCTCATTCTTTCATTTATTTGTTCATGTTATTAAATACTTAAAATGTAATCAGTGCAGTGTACAAAACAGCAGTCAGGGAACCTTCAAGTTATCAAATAGTCCTATATTTTGTTTCACTGTGAGCCCAGTTTTAGTTGTTGCCGACTCACTCTAATTCTAAGATCTGATCTATCTGAATTCCCTTTGAGGAATAATACCTTGTTCCTCCTTTGTTAAACTGCCAGTTAGTGTGGCTGCTTATGATCACACCAGTGACTCATTGCTTTCTTAAACTGATCTCACTAGTAGATTGCAGTCCCCTTGAACAGACTGTTAAGATTATTACAATCCTTTGTAACGTTATGTGCTGCTTGAGTATAAGATTGTTATCAACTAAAATCCGTCTGTTTTGAAGTTCAGTACACTGATGGAGATATGTCGTTCCTTTAGAAAGAAAGGAAAAAGAAATAGCTGCAGAGCAGTCCAGGCCCGCTGGCCATAAAGCATGTCTCAAAGGCAGCATGGTGCCAGTTGGAAAGGTAGCAAACCAGCGTTTCTGCCTGATCTGGAATGAGTCCCTTCAAGTGTTTCTCACATGTCTTCATGGAAAATCAGTGACTAAGAATATTATCTGTTTGGCTTTAAAGTTCAAACTAGTTATAGAGTGCCAATAGCAATAAAAAAGGAATGGTTAAGTAGAGCCAAGCATCACTGTAGATACACTGGCATGTAGACCAATAAGAAGCAGGAAGTGGTAACTAGAACAATTGCATTGTTTCCTGTTGTATAAAGTGGAGGGGTTGGGGGGCAAACTAGTCCACTAGAAAGGGATGAGGGAAAACCAGTGTTGTAAGTGAAATAGTTGATGGGGATCCCATCCAAAGATTTTAAGAAAACTTAATTTTGGTGCAGAGAAAATCCGTTGTTTATTTACAGTAAGTTCAGAAGTAGAGTCCACCAAAAAAGTAGCAGAGGTAACACATTGAGGGCAATCAGTTTTCTCAGACTCAGGGACTAGCTCCAAACTTTAAATTAAAAGGAGGTTAAGTGGTAACTTGATCGTTTTGGAAAAGCTCTGTGTATTTCTAGCAAAGTTTCCTGAGGAAAAATGAACACATTTACATTCTCTAAAATAGAACATCTAGTGAAAAGTTATTAGAAGAAATTGGGAAATGTTAGACAAAGTTTAAGGAGGTCTTGGAATAAAAATTATTCTATACTGTGTGTCTGTTATAATCCTTACCTAGAGACGCTAAGTGTGAAAGTTTAAGTTGAAGAATATTGATTTTGCTATGTGTTACATGTTGTTGTAAATTTAAATAATGAGCCCTGTAGCAGCATATGCTGGTCCTCTTGATAGCAGATGCTGTTCTAAATGTAAGTAGTGACTATATATTCCCCTTTTTACCGTTTCTAAATTTGCGTAGCAACTCGAACGTAGATCAGGCAGCATTAGTGCTTTATTGTTTGGAAATGCTTTCTTCTCCGGGCATTTGGATTCATTCTGAAAAATAACATCTCAACAAAATGGCTGAGGGGAGACTTTTTAAAAGAAAACGTTCTGGAGAGATTAAATTGCAAGAGAGTGGTCAGATTTGAATGAACATAAAATCAAGTTGGGGTAAAACTTGTTTTTCTGTTTGCTTTAACTATCAGTAAAGAGGTTTGCTGGAGTTGATTTTAAATTTTATTTATTTATTTATTTAGGTGACATCACCCCCATTTCCTATTCAGTTTGCAGCTATGCTTACTAGTGGTTGAGCTTTTAAAAAAATCTTTTATTTTCTTTCTAAATCAGTGGTGAAGTTCACATATGGTAAATAAAAAGAACCAAAAAATCTCTTTTGTAAACCGTTTTACGTTTTGAATTATATATTTAGTTTATTCCACGATGGTTGTTTAAGTGCCTCCTGTGGACAGCACACCGGACAGGAATAACGTAATTCTCTACATGTGAAACCATGACTTCTTGTTTAATAAAAGTACCTTTTGCTTAAAAAAAGACATTCTTGACCAGTTTTTTTGACAAATGTGTAAATTTTTTTATCTCCATGCCATGGATTAACTATATTGTAGGTGAAACAGTTATAGGAGCATATGTCTGATAACTAGATGCAACCTTAAGCCCCCTAAACAAGATGAGTATAATTTGCTAGAGCAGCTTATATGTGGGACTTAAACCCAAACTTAAATTTTTATGTAACAGAAGCAGTGAGCCTCTCACTGCTAATAATTTAACTAAACTGGGTCAACAGATAGTTGAGACCACCAAAGATAATGTTCCAGTAGTATCCTGATGTCATAAAGGCAACAGGAAGACAGGATAACTTGCGTCAATTTCTCTTTTTATATTTTTAGCCTTGCAGTAAATATAAAATGGAAATTGGAGTTCACTTAAACATTTATTGAGAAAATACTATTTGTCTACCTTTTTATTGCTAATATTATTTTGTATTCTGTAATAATAATTGCATACAAGAGTGATTTATCCTTCAGTTTTGACCCAGTAACTTAGAATATTTGCCTAAAAGTACAAATATATATATGCTAAATTCTGAGCAGACATACACAGCCATCTCAATAGAAGTGCCTTCCAACAAGCAGACTGCTAATGGGTTTGAACCACACAAGGGTGACTGAAGTGTTTTCTTTGTTTAAGCATTCCTGTCAGATTTATAGACTTAAAATATCTGTTAAATGCTGACTTAACAACAACAGATGTAACTGCACTTCTTTTACATGGGTCATGGCTGTGAGTTACTGTCCTATTGGCTTTCTCTTTACCTGACAACTCTTCATGATTCCAATCTAAGATTTGTCTTAGAGAAAAGTCTGTAAGTCTACTACTTTGGATTTTGAGCCCAGTGAAATGATTGGCACCAACTGTTTTTATTGTATCTTTCTCCAAACAAATCTCTGCACAGTCTTGTAGCTTGATAGTAAATTCTGTGAACTGTTACATCCACTGAAGAGAGTGTTAAGCTTCATTGGAAATTTAGAAGGTGTATTGTTCATCTGAGGCATTTTTGCCACTGGAAATAGCCCTTCCTTCTTTGTAGTAAGCAATAATCACTTAAAATTAAATGGGTCGTTGTCTTCTTAAGTTTTCCCCTAAAGATCAATAGAAAGGAAGCAGTAGTCTACATATACATGCACCAGCCATCTATAAATAGCTATATATACATGAATTTACATAGTATTCCCTTGTTAAGTATGTTAGATGCCAATAAACCTTTCTCTTTGTTAGGTTTGCTGGAAATATTAGAGAAAGAGCCATATCTTAGTCTTTTGGGAGCTATTCTCTTTCTTTCTTTCTTTCCCTCCCTCCCTCCCTCTTTCTTTTCTTTCTCTCTCTCCCTCTCTCTCTCTCTCTCTATTTTCCTTTCCGATAAAGTAAAAAAAACTCTGGGCTTCCAGATCCTGAGTTAATGTAACACTGGCATTTGTTGAAAACTTGAGATTTCCCTAGAAAGCGCATATGGTATTGTACTGAACATAAAAGCACTAAACAAATGGCTTTTCCAAGTGACTGAAATTTTTTACTCCTATCTGAATATGGTGGTTTTAGGACTATTTTTTTTTCTTCCCAATTTCTATCTCGTACTCAGATGATATTAATAGTTGTGTTTATGTAATGTCTGTGTTGTGTGTGTGTTTTTAATCTGTTTAGGTTGACCTGACAGTTCAAGAAAAGGAGAAATATCTTAATGTGTCTCGCTGGTTTTGTCACATTCAGCATTATCCAGGCATCAGGCAACATCTGTCTAGTGTTGTCTTCATCAAGAACAGACTATATGCCAATTCCCACTAGAAGCTGCCCATGCCGTACAGAAGCGAGGTTAAAAATATTTTAAATGGAAGGTGTACTCTGGACCAGAGGACTAATGTAAATGGATACACAGTCGTTCTGTGTTTGCTGAAGTTGATAGAATTTTTAAAGTATAAACGTGTGTCTGAATGTTTTACAGTTGAAAACTTGCATTTTTTTATGTAAAAATTCAACTGCTGTCAAAACTTGAGTTAAGATGAAGTTATAAATTACTTTGTTTTTATAGATGAAATTTATTTTAATGAAAGTTGCAAATCAGTGGCTTAATTTTTTTAAAAATAGTCCTTCTAATGATTGACCTATTTGGCTATTTATTGACATATCTTTTCATATTTTAAAATTCATTTTCCCTTACAAATATTTACTGTAGTTTGTTTATTAAGATCTACAAAACATTGTGCCAAGGATAGAGAACGGAAAGACAGATGTGTTTTCAAATATTTATGTGAATCAGTAAATGTGATTGAAAAAATCTTTTTTGTTTGTTTCTTTCTTTTCTGTAGTCAGTATTCATTGGAGTGAAACTAACTACTGACTGCCCTAGAGGAAACTAGAATAAGATACATTCTCTTCAGTTAATGGTTCTTTTTTTTTTGCTGTTGGGTTTAGTGGAAAATGCAGTGGATAAAAAAAGATGGGAAATTCCTGCCATCCCACTAATTGTGGACTTGATAACTACTAGATGTTTCTAAATTAAAAGCCAACTGTCACAGAAAGGCTGCTGTTGAAACCCTATATGTAAAGAACAAAGAGACACTTTAACAAATCTATACAATGTGTAACTTACTGGCTGAGTAAATAAGTAATCAATTATTGAGAGCTAAAGAGCTTATATTTCCAAATAATAAGAAAAATAGAGCCTTCTAGCACTTTACTGTTTAATGCTACTTAATACTTTAGTTTCGATGCTGAACCTAAATACTAGTATACGATTCAAAGATCAACTGGAAAGAGCATAGACAGGAAATAGGACAGCCCTTTGGTTGAGTCCTGCTTTCATTATTTACTAGCTGTGTGACCTTAAGCAAATCAATTAATCTTATTAGTCTGTAAAAATAAAATACAAAATTAAAGGTAGCTCTAAGTTATGAGAATTAAAGGACAGAATGTATGTGAAAAAGCCTAACATGTATCCCATGGCTGTCAGTAAAGTTCCTCTTTTTTTTTTTCAATATGTTTTTATTGATTTCAGAGAGAGGACGGAAAAGGGAGAGAGAAACGTCAATGATGAGAGAGTCATTGATCGGCTGCCTCCTACACACCCCCTACTGGGGATCAAGCCCACAACCTGGGCATGTGCCCCAACCCGGAATCAAACTGACCTCCTGGTTCGTGGATCGATGCTCAACCACTGAGCCACACTGCCAGGCAAGACCTCCATTTTTGTCCTTCATGTTACTGAGTCAAGAGATTTACTAGGCCAGTGAGTAAGTACATTGTAATAGATCAAGACTTTTATAGGATTGGATTTCACAATTCATTGCCCTTGGAAGCATTTTTAATTTTATAAAATGGCCTTTAAATTAGAAACTAAACTTGTGTTTGCATTTTCAGAGACTATTCTTGGGAGTTAGTGTGCGTGTGCCCTAGAAGCAGCCCAGTCTATGACTTCTCATGCTCCTGCTAAGTCTGCTCTAAACACTCCACATGATGCCTCACTGCTCCAAATCATTCCTGTCCTCACGCTTCTCTTCTCCCCTTGGACTGCAGGTCAGCAGGACAGACAGGGTAGATGAGAGGGGCTACGTAGCCTTTCCAGTCCAACCTTTTCATTTTTTCCCCCTCAGTTTAGGTCTGCTGTGGGGAAAGGGTAGGAGGACACCTCTACTTCTTTGTCAAATGTCCCCTCTTTGCACTTCTGCCTTGTGAGCCTTAACCCTCTGATTCCTTATATCCAGTAGCCAGCTCTTTATTGAAGTGCACAGCATTGCTTCAACAGATGTTCCCTTGTGTTACCATGTGCCAAGACTCCCTCTACCTGCTTAGATCATACTGGATGAGGGGATGGCATAAATATACAGGCCTGACTCCTGGCAAAGGTTAGGTACTGTTCTCAGAATGTAAATCGAAACAACTCATTTTGTCATAGAAATGCTGCTGTGCATCACAGTCATTTCTGTCAGTACTTTTCTGCCTGAAGTGCCCTTTGCACTTTCTCATGTTTTCCTGCTAATCAAGTCTATTCCGACCAGCCCATCACTCCCTACCCTTGTTCCTGGTACTGATGGCATTGCACTATTTATGATTACATGTCTCTTCCACCAAACTCTTAAATCCCTGAAAGCAGAGATTCCTTTTTCCCTTGCATATCCAGCCCTCAAAACAATGACTGGCGCACAGCAGCAGATGCTCAATATATGCTTGTGGAAAAAATGGAGTATTCTTTCAAGTCCACTTGTGCTGACCAAGAGAAGTAACTGAATTGAAATTAGGTACAGCTGAATAGAGCACAAAGCACGTTAAAGCAGTTGGGTTCTCTCACGTAAAAGAAGGTAATACAGTCCACAGTTGGTGCGCACCCAGCTCCCACCTTTCTTCCTCATAGTGAACAAGTAGTTTTCTTCCTCAAGTTCAATTTATGGTCCAAGATGGCTATCAGAGCCACAGACATCAAATCCATGATTAAGGTCCAGAGAGAGGAAGAGAGGAAGGGCAAAAAGAATCCCCTTCCAACGGAGTCCTGGAAGTCCTGTTCAGCAATATCTGTCTACATTTCTAGCGTCCCAGCCGGAACAGAGTCCAGAAGTGTCCTTTACCCCGCACACCAGCCAGAATCAAGTCTGCTCTGCCAATAAGGAAGAAGGGGAAAAGGGACACTGGGGAGGCAGCTAGCTGGCTCTGGTGCGGTAATTAGTATTTAAATGGGAAAATGCCTTCTGAATGCCAAATAGTCAACTTGTAAAATAATTTTTACTATAAATTATTGACATTCCATGGGTTATCAATTTTCAAAGAATTAGAATACAATAAATGCTTTTCGCTGACGACAATTTTCATGATTCAAAAGCTATTTCAGGATCCCCCAATATTCAGCTACCAGGAAGATCTGTTAATGTGCATTTTTAATAATAACAACAATAATAGCTAACATTTACTGGCATTTAGTATGTATCAGGCAGCGTTTTAACTGAATTCACTTTAATTTGTATCCCCTTTTTGCAGATAATGAAACTTGCCTAAGGTCACACAACCAGTATCAAGGGGCTGGGATTCAGACAAGTGTCTGGCTCAAACTTAACCTGTAAACCACTTGATTGGTGTGCCAGTCAAGTTCTGCTTAGTCAGTTGTAAAGTTAGTTTTTAACCAACCTGAGGAAAAAAGCTGCCCTAGACATTGGATAAAATGTGTGTGTGTGTATCGTCAAGAATAAATGAGATGGCCCTGGCTGGTGTTGCTTGGTTGGGCATCACTGGTTTGATTCACAGTCATGGTACATGCCCGGGTTGTGGGCTCAGTCCCCAGGAGGGGGCGTGCAGGAGGCAGCTGATCAATACTCTCATCATTGATGCTCCTCTCTCTCTCCCTTTCTCTGAAATCAGTAAAAAAATATTTGGGGGAAAAAGAATAAGTTACACAACTCTACTAAAACCCACTGACTTGTACACTAAATGGGTAAATTTTATGTGTATTATAGCAAAAAGCAGTGTTTGTAAACAGGAATGTGTGGGGGCGGGAGAAGTAGAGTCAAATACCTCAACCTCACCCTGTATTAATTATGAGACCTTGGATAAGTCACTGCATGTGAAATTCCTCTTATGAAATAGAGGTAAAGGTTACTGATCTCACGGTGTTTTAATTTGCAGTGCCAGTGGATAAACATTACCTAGCACAGTGCCTAGCACACAGTAAGTGATCAACGAAGGATCAAATTTTTAAGGTCATATTTTTAAACTAATTCTTTAGTTTTTTCCCAGGCACCTGCTCCGTGTAAGCCTATCAGATAAGACAAGTTGGCAGAGCATCTTGCAATTTTTGGTAAAGCATGAGTTTACCAATTTGATTACCGGTTTAAAAAAATATCTGGTCCTGCTCTAGCCAGTTTGGCTCAGTGGCTAGAGCATCGGCCTGCAGACTGAGGGTACCGGGTTTGATTTCGGCCAAGGGCACGTACCTCGGTTGCAGGCTCGATCCCTGGCCCTGGTCGGGAGGCAACCAATTGATGTGTCTCTCTCACATCAGTGTTCCCCTCTCTGCCTCCCTCCCCCTCCCCCCTTCTACTCTCTGAAAAGCAATGGAGAAAATATCCTCAGGTGAGGATTTAAAAAAAAAAAATTTCTGGTCCTCACATCTTGCAAGCTGTTGAAAATGGACTATACTATTTTTCTTTCTTTTTTCTAAAATATCAATGAGACTAAAACAAAATGGGTCCATCTTTGTCCATGTTACTCCTGCAAAGTGGATGCCCTTTTCCAAGCATTCCCAGAAGTCGGCAGTGCTGATCATTCAGTAATACTTCAAATATTTATTTAGCACCTGCTCTGTATCAGACACTGTGCCAGGCCCTGGGAATAACACAATTACATCTTTGCCCTTGTAGAGTTTACAATCCAGTGGTCTGTGAACAAATTTCTGAAATGGCATATAAAGCATTCTTTGGGAGATTGCCCCCCACTCAACTTTTTTTTTTTAACCCTCACCTGAGGGTATTTTTTCCATTGCTTTTCAGAGTGGAAGAGGGAGAGAAAGAGAGAACATTGATATGAAAGAGACACATCAACTGGTTGCCTCTCGCACGTGCCCCAACAGGGGCCAAGCCTGCAACCAAGGTACGTGCCCTTGGCTGGAATCGAACCTGGGACCCTTCAGCCTGTAGGCCGGCACTTACCACAGCGCCAAACCGGCCAGGGCTCAACATTTTTTTAAAGTAAATATATATAATCAGATGCCATTTACTGAGTGTCTACTATGTTCTGGGCTCTACCAGACACTTGACAACAATCAGGTTATCTCATGTTAATTTAGGAGCTAGGGCAGAAGCAGGGACTAACCCACATGCTAACCAACATCTCAATTAGACCATGGCTGGAGAGAATGAGAATTGTACAGTTGAGTTAGAGGACATAGTCTGTCCCCATGAACAGACAAAAAATTCCAAATAAGAAAAGATCTATGAATTTTTCCTTACTTAAAATAAATACTGCTTTTAAAGCAAATAGAAATAATAGAACTGCAGACAATATCAAAAGGCCATTTGTCTTTAGGCACAGTTTCACCCAAAGCATCCAAGATGTCATGACATATTTTGTGGAATTCTGTGATTGTAAATCTCAAGTAGCCACTGTCACAATACAGTAAAAAAAAGTGACATAACTTCAAGAATGACATAATCATCCATCCATGTCCAGACTTCCCAATTAAACTCTACCCCATCTCCCTGCAGATTCAGTCATAAGGTTATTGCACTGAGATTTTTAACAGACGTGAGCATTCTCATTTTTACTTCCTGTTAAACAGGTCTTCCATTGCTCCAC